CATCTTCAATTTTGATTGCCCAATCTCATTCTCACCCAGCAAATAAGCCCAGACATTTTTTATTCAACTGTAACAACAGATTTATTTCCCTCTTGGTGAATGATGGTGCTGCACAATTTCTCTAAGTGGATACGCTCACCTGACAAAACAATGCACAAATTATATTACTAATATTATTCGTTATTTAGTCACGAATATAATCGAATTGTTGCACGAGTACTCTCCGCCATTTAATGTAATCAAGCTTAAGACCTCAGGTATATTGTCTCTCACTGTCTTCCAGGTAATGTTTAGAAATGTTAAAGAAAGTGCACTGGTGTTTATATTGATACGTATAGAATATTAGCTAAAATCACGGAACAATATATTTTACGCCAGCCTAAATTTTACTATGCTCATTCGGCAACCAAGGCTGGCCAGATGTGTTGCCGACAACTCACCCCGACGAGAGCTTGGCACGCTCGGCGTGCACTCAGCCACCGACGTTGGCTCGAACCATGAAGCCGACGTGCGTTTGGCGCGTTCGGCATTCACTCGTCCACCGACGCTGGCCCGAACCACGCTGCCGACCAAGTTCCGATGTAGCTGGCAGCGCACCTCTGGCCGACCCTTTTCGAATGTCTTAGGGCCAGTGAAGTCGGCTGCCGACTACGTGCCAGCCATGTGCCAATTTGGTCCGCAGTCAGCCAAGGTTGCTGGGTAGGCTCTTGCTAGAACGGTACCGTGCTCTTGAGCAGCCTTTAGTTTCCAAAACATACCGTGGGAAGCAGGCAGAAGTTTCATAATCATAATTTCGTGTTCCCTGACGGCCTTGCTGAGGCTCCTTGGGCGGCTGTTGTCGGTTTTCTCCTGTGGTTTCCTTGAGAGCGCGTCGGCTGTATGCATTTTCTTGTCTGGGATCTTGTGGGCAATGGTGTAATCGAATTCGAGCAGTCTTATACAAAACCATTGCAAGCGAGGACTTAGTTCGTCCAGGCGTCTTGGTGGGCATTGCCACCAGTGCTTTGTGATCAGTTTCTACATGAAACTTGAGACCAAGCAGATAGGAGCGGCAATGCTCTCGGGCCCATGTTACTGGCAGTGCTTCTTTATCTATCTGCACATATCGCGTCTCCGCATTGGAGAGGGACCTTGAGGCATAGGCAACTGGAAGTCTCCGCCCATCTGTCTCTTGAAGAACTTGAATCCGAGACCGTACGACGATGCGTCCACCGACACAGTGGGATGACGACAGGGGTCATAGTGAGTGAGCACTGAAGTTATAGTCAAAGCTTTCGTGACAGCGTTGAACTTACTTGCTGAGGCTTGTCTCAGCGTCATTCAGCCTTGCTGTGAAGGAGGTCACGTAACGGTTTTGTGAGCTGTGAGAGCCCCGGGAGAAACTTGGCCAAGCAGTTGGCCGTTTCCAAGAAGGACCTCACTTCTGTTACATCTGTCAGCTCTGCTAGGTGACGCACGGCGTTGACCTTTTCAGGGTCGGCACTGATACCATTAGCTGGCACGATGTGTCCCAGAAACCTCACTTACTGCTGGTGTAGCACACACTTTTTTTGCATTCAAGGTGATGCCACCGTCTTGCAGGCGCTGCAGTACTTTATGCAATCTTGCGTCATGTTCTTCCCTTGAGAAGCCAAACACTATAATGTCGTCCTGTAGACACGCTTGGCCCTCGAGGCCTTCTAGATCTCTTAACATTTCTTTCTGAAAAAACTCAAGCGCTGTCGAAATACCGAAGGGCAATCGGAGAAACTAAAACTGGCCGAATGGCGTCAGAAAAGTAGTGTACTTCTGGGATTCTGGTGCTATAATCAGCTATTGCATCAAGCTTGCTGAACGAAGTAGCTCCGGACAGTGTGGCCAAACATTCGTCGATGGTGGGCATTATGAGTCGTTCCCGCATGATGTTCTTGTTCAACCCTCCAAAGTCGACGCAGATTTGAAGCTCACCTCCTCTCTTTTTGGCGACTACCATAGGTGCGCATCACTCTGTGGCCTCGCCGACCTTTCTGTAAGTTTCTCCATTCTCTCCAACTAACGCTTGACGCTGGGCAGCGTGGGCAGGGGTACTCGCCGTGGATACGTAATACCACTGGGCTTTGCATCGGTGAGTAATGTTATCCTGTATGCTGTCTTGAGAAGGCCCAGGCCTGTTGTCAAGTTGGGATATTGGCAGAAAATGTTAGCTGGATCACTGACCTTGCCTGTTGGCACTGTGACTTCAAAGAGGCTTGGAAGAATATCCAGTGTTTTGATTCGATATTGACCACTTTCATTTCGGTAGGGGCACTCCCTTAAAATGAGCTTTTTTTGCTCTCTATGGCATGGCGAAAGAAATGTTTTTGAGAGGGGGGGGGGGGCACATGCCCGGTGTGCCTACTGGCTACGCCCCTGCGTGCTCTCTATGTACGCCCCCATCGATTACACTAATTGAAATGCCACAGCTGCCGCTTCTCACTTACGCCTGTAATACCACCCCTCAAAGCACTACTGGTTTTCACAGTTCTTCTTATTAAGGGACTGTATCTTGTTGTCGTTGCAGTGGTTTATCGCTTGTATTTTTTCTTTCCTTATTTTTGTACTTTCATCATTTGTTAAAGCATCGGGATGATGCCTTTTTCAGAGGGGGGCAATATGCCACATTCCCTCCTCAGGTTTTGTAATCGCCCCATTTCAATGTCAGTAATTCTCAGCGCAAACCGCACCTGCAGTGTTTCAGAAGCTTTGGAACTGTAGTAGATCAATTCGTTAAGATTACGCCGACTTCGCGAACATTACAAATTATTCTGGAACCTATGTGGCCACTAGCGATAACGCTAGAATATTCGACGGCACGTGTATGAATGCCGACGCGCTTCACCGCTTCTCAGTTAATCGACGGCTGACGTTCTGTTCGCCGCTATAGATGTCAGTGTGCATCGCTGTAATCTTACTTTTCGTTTGTCGGCCACAAGTTCGACCCAAATAAACAGTTTCATCTTCTATCTACAGTCTGATTCCTCTATCCACGTCACGATCCCTAGCAAACCATGTAATGTCTAGTATACTTCAAATAAATATCAATCATATGATATTTTTAGCTTCGATAAATGTCCACAAAAGTTCATTTAAAAAGACCCTGAAATGGTTTTGGCAATTTTTTACTAACACATTGGGCCGGTAGGCCAAGTTCCAAGGGTAATTTAGAGACCGATTTGAGTTTTCGGCGTAAACTGTGTAATTTATTACAAAGCTCTAAAGTTACGAATCGCCCGAGATCGCTGCGACTCGGCCAAACGCATTTTCAACCGCCCACACACCAAGCGACGCGATCTGCCCTATTGACGTCATCGTTTTCAGCTGATCTGCTTGACTGCGGAACACGCAGCACAGGTATTTATTTTGTAATAAACAGAAAGCAAATGTTGTTCGTAATTTGTAAAGCCCTTTATAATTCATTTTGATTAAAATTTTTTACAAAGAAAAAGAAGACGATCGCAGTTTACAACTAGGCTTTGGAACTTCCGGCGTGATATCTTCCCAACTCACGCTAAACTATGACCTACAGGCATTTTAAATGGTTTATCGCAGGACCATTTAAGTACTCTGCCAACAAATGTCATAATAGCAATGGACGCATCTCAATCACATGAAAAATCAGGCGTTGGAATATATTGCCCCATATTTGATTGGTCATTTTCACTTCGCTTACCAGATTTTCTTCCTGTCTTTCAGGCTGAATTCATGGCAATAAGGTTAGCTTTGCGAAAGGTAAATATTTCCATTCCAGTCGTAGCAGTCATAACTGATTCATTATCAGTGTGCTCTTCTCTGTCCGCATCTGGTCGCTCACCCATACTGAAACTTTTTAAATCATTGATTCCCTGTCATCTCCGAAGTACTGATTTAATATGGACGCCAGTGCACAAAGGTTTGTTGTTAAACGAAATAGCTGATTCTCTTGCGAAGACATCGCTTTCGACACCAATCATTCCTATTTTCCCTCATACAGTATACATTACGGTGGCGCGATTTCGCACACTTAAAATCAGGCAAAATTTATTATTGATATATTTGTGGGGTTTAACGTCCCAAAACCACAATTTGATTATGAGAGACGCCGTAGTGAAGGGCTCCGGAAATTTTGACCACCTGGGGTGACAAAATTTATCAGACCCTGCACTGACGGCTTTTCCAGAGTACAACCACTTGCTATTTTCCTGGTGCAGTGAACTGTCTAATTCAAGGATGATGGAAGTTGTCATCACAAAATTTTGTTGCCGCGTTACCTCCCTCAATTTTTACTTGCATAGATCAGGTATATTGAATTCCCCTGTGTGCATTTACTGTGATCGAGAGGAAACAATCAGTCATTTTTTATTACATTGTCGCCGTTTCGATTTATTCAGGCAAAGCATACTAGCACCACCTCTTCAAAGACTGGGCTTGCAATTATCACAACCTAATCTTCTTTCATTTGGAGCCTCTACATTGGGTTTCAGCCACAGGGATGTTTTATTCGCCGGTCAGGAATGCATCACTGTGACTAAACAATTTTCTTGCTAAATTACGGTCCCACTATTTTTCTTTATTTTTTTCTGCAAACTTGATATCGGCATTTCAAATCAAAATTCAGTTACAGAAGTTTTGTAGGAATGACGCAATGATGAAAGTATAGGACAAATTCACCTTATAATCGGCCAATCCCCTCCTTTGAGTAGGAGTCATTTGCACAGGAAAAAACAACAACAACAACAACAACAACAACTTTCGGCACACGGTGAACGTTGTCTGCTTGGATCCCACACGCTGCATGTTGACGTGAGCTGCGCAACGAGTGGTCATCACGAGGTTGTTGCGACACCACAGAACACCTATACACTGTGACACCATCAATCACCCTTGTCTCGTTGTGGGCTGCAAGTCCGTTGATTGGCGACAAGGGAAGATACGACACCGTGCGCCTGCGAAAAAAACAGCAGGCGCACCGAGGGGCTGCAGCGCATCGAATTGCCCGTATCAGATCAGCGGAGGGATTCACGCGTATGCGGTCGCCACTTTAAGCTGGAAGACTACGAACGCGATTCCGTGCTTGTGCGGCGCGATGTGAAGAGGCATCCCCTCAAATCCGGCACACTGCCATCTTTGTTCCTCTTCCTGGTGAAAAAGTAAGTTCACGGTCGATCCGTATCGTGCTACACGCACTGAAAACGCGATTCGCACGTGTGTGTTCAGAAAATACTATGTAACTTCGTTAATTTTAACTATCACGACTTTGTCTTTTCAGTGCAATGTGGTCCACTTCGCAATAATTATATACACGTTGAAAGACTTGAGCTGGTTCACTATTTCCAGAACCAATTATAAGATGGCAGGCTGCCTTTTTGCACAAGTGTATACGTTGTAGGGCCAGCTGTAAAATGCAGGTTCGAATGTACGGCATGCACGTTACACATGATGAGCTCAAAGAAAGCCCCGCAATAGTGCAACACGCGTTCGACGGCGTCGATAGGCTACGGTCCGATTGCTCGTGCTGTATTCATGCCGATTAGCAATTGCACGGCGCGCTAGAAAATCGTCTCACAGTGCCGGCGTCCAAAGTGCGTTTAAGCTTATGCTTCAACTGTAGCGCATATGCTTTATTTGTTCATTGATTTGCCGGTGTGAATGCACATATATGTATGTGTAAAGGCAGCCTTGCAAGAAAAAGCGTGCCGATTGATGGGTAGTTTAATTCATCGACTGTGCTTGGGGAAATTCTTGCAAAAAGCTTATGGCTGCTTACGGGGCCGATTATAAGCATGCAGCTTTACGTTGTGGCACGTTATGCAGGAAAACAAAGAAGCCGAGAAATATTTGCACCACTGTGTTTCTTAATTATTAAATTAATTGTATAACTGCAATACTCCATTTGTTTACGCCATAATGCATGATCACCAAATCACAGCAGCGCAATGAAGTGCTGGCTTCACATCTAACAAGTACTTGGCTGCTCATCAAAAAAAGAACTAATTAGTAGAACTACATGCTGAGTTAATGTGTTTATTCCATCCGAGAAGTGGAAAAAAATGAAACTGCTGAAGTAGTTATATACTAATACAATAAACTCTCCAGCCTTTTTGAGTACTATACGAGATTTCTTGGAAGCATGTTTTTAGTACACGCACATAAAACAAATCATGCAGTGTATACAGAATTATTGCACATAAAATGTGTGAATGGAAATGCAAAGACAACACTTAAAACAATTGTCATTCATTGTGCCTGTGGTAAAAGAAATTGCTGCTTTTTTCAGCATCACACACTGCCCCAGAAAAGTCTTGGTACCTTCTGCTAGCCAGGTTAGTCCTGCTCTGTTTGTGTACATTGGCACCGCACAAAAGTTAGAGTGGAATGTATATGTGTTGCTTAGCATTGCTGCATATTATGGAAAATAACACAGTAACACCTTTCTTATGCAGCCACACACTGTACAACTAGCTGATGCCGGATAAGGCAGCTCAATTTCCACAGCTCTCAGCTGCCAGATGAGAAAATATTTTGAGTTCTTTGAAACCTAACTTGGCACCAGGGAAGTTAAGTTATCATAAAAACTAAAAGCATTTTATTATTCCTAAGCGTGTTGATGTTGTTTAAAACAAACACAAGCTATTTTATATAAAGTGATTTAATACCACATGGCCACAAAGACAGTGTGATGTATAAAATATAGTTTATCAAAAGTGCAGGTGTAACATAATATGTTTATTATCACCACCTCATATCCAGGCAGCCACACAAAGAACTGTGCACAAGGCAACCATGAGTACAGTGGCAACTCGCAAGACAATGGAATGCCACTCTATTGATAAGTTGACCGAAAGGTTGAAAAATGCACGTATGAGATATAAAATGTACAGTAGCTGTTCAGTTACAGGATTCACACCTAAGCTCCTAAACAAAGAAAACTAGCAGGAAATAATGCATGATGATGAACGATCGGACATGAAACCATTCGAAGAAGTTTTGTTTATTTGAGTGTTTCATACCCATCTCAGCTACGCAGGTGAACATGACCCGGAAGGTGCTTGTTTCGGCCAATACACAGAAAGCAGCTGCCTTCACCACAGAATCCGCAGTGCAGACACAGTGTGGTGCTTCATCACATGAGCAGCAGTAGCAGCTTCAGCCGATGTTACACTTCTAGTGTAACGTGAGATAGGGTGAACCCCACGCCCTGCGCGGCCGGAGGGAATCCCGCATGCTGGAACCCAATAAAGTTTATTCTCTCTCTCTCAGCCGATGTTGTTTCAGTGCCACAGCTCCCAGAGGTTTCAGGCCTCTCGGTGGCTCAACACCTGTCCGAATAGATAAATCTTCTCCCACTAAAAAAAGCCAGCTGCTGAAACATCTGTACAAATGGACGGATCTTTCCCTGCTGAGGCAGAAGAGTTAGCTGCTCAAGTTAATGTCACTTACCTTCATTCAGCGAGAGCTTCGGCAGGTATTACAAGCATTCAGTGATCTTTAACATGTGATGAACATGTAGTCACAAACTAGTTCGCATACTGAAACCACCACGTCAGACAGGTATTCTCTGGGGTTGTGTGTGCCCTTTCATGTTTGCAACAAAGGAATTTAAGCCCCTTAGTTCCCAGAAGCATTTCACCTCAGAGTAGTTGTGAGAATTTATTAGAAGACAGAGAGGTGAGCCTGAGCTAGTTCGCTGTAGAGTAGTTCATGACAGTTCATGTATCTTTGCCAGAACACAAATGGTCCATTCTGCAGTGCATGCTCATTTTTCCAACTTGTGCGTTTCAAAACTATACGAATGTGACGAGGCTGTTCCATTCCTGTGAAAAGTCTGCCGAGACACTTTCATGCATTATGGGGCAACCTGCAGATTTTATAATGATACACATAGGAGCTTGTACAATTAAGTGCAGGCCCATTGCCAGAAAATTTTTAGGAGTGGCCCACCTTCTGAGGGCATTTAAAAACACGTAATTTCAATATCATGCTGGGTAGAACACACCCCTCCATGCAAACTTCAAGGAGGGTAGGGCAGGCCCCTAGGGCATCCTTAATTCTGGCGATGGGCCTCGTTGAGCACCTGTATAAGAGACATGCACTTGAAAACAATTGAAGAATCATGCGAATTTTCTTATCAACCTTATTTCAAAGTAGGCACACTGGTTTCTCTTATGCCACTTTGTCTCTTATATGAGTGTATTTTATATATGAGTTAGACTACATAAGCAGCATTTATAAAGCTTCTTTATTGACATTAGCTAGACAAGAGGATTTCTATGACAATAGCAACGAAGAATGTTGGTATTCATTTGCAATTCATGATGCTCTATAATACAGCAGTGTTTTAGATGTTGCTACAACCTCTAACGAGATAACGAAGAGCATGGGGACCACGTTCCCCGCAGCGAGTACGCTTAGGCCCCGCGGTAAGATTAGCACAGCGCTTATGCTGATACCTATGCTTGACTAGAACACAGCCTGGCCGGAAGCATAAGACTTATTTCACACGAAAGCACGCTGTGGCTCATGAACACTTTCTTTTATTACTAGCATGTGTTTGCAGATGTTCACCAAATAAGAAGGGGCACACTGACACATGTGTACAACTACATTTTTCGCAGCATCTACAACGGGCTGCCACTTACCAAGGCAGTTTCACAGTGGACACAAAGAAACAGCAAAATGATTTAATGTGACACTATTTACACATTATTTATGTGCTAATGCACCAACTTCTTTTGTATAATACATTGCCAGTTACATTATATAAGACTTCCAAACAATGCTACACTTAGCTCATGGAGTGACTGTTTTGTGATAGAATACTTGTGCCGCGTTTCCGGCTATTATTAAAATGGAGGGTGCCAATTAGGTTTTCTTGGTAGTGAAGAGATGCACCTAAAGAGTCCCTGCGATGGTTAACTGAAGCTGCGTTAGCATTTCTGCTACAGCACAATGTAATAATAAGCACCGTAAATTCAGGTATTCATCTTGTATCATGACTGCTAAAAGCTACAAGATTTTAGCAGTGCTTTTCCTCCTGATCCTATCAAGAATGCAACTGTCACTAGTGCACGATTGAGCTGTAGCTATTTGTCAACATTATACTTGAATCTTTCACTACAACGACACTACCTATATCAGCCACTTAGTTTTTCTCCAGTGCACTTATAATCAGTAAACACTAAAAAGTACATAGAGAAATTAAGTTGATCGAGACCTTAAGCAATAAAAATTGTAGTAGTATCTTTGGAGGTGAAGTGATGGCTTCAGGTGAGTGGATGCTGACACCTATTAGATATCCCAGTGCTCACTCTACTGATTGACCTCGGGAACTCCTCTCGAAGGCTGCCTGGCATTAGCACTGATCACTAGATTTGTTGCAAGGTGAAATGCAAGAAAAACAGACCATGTGGTTCAAGGACACTGAAAAGTCTTATTTTATTCGTGTCAGTCTAAAAAGAATAGGAGTCTATCTCGTATTTAGGAAATGGGTGTCAAAGGAAGCCTTGCTTTGGTGTGTCTGGCTTTTATATACTTTCTGTCGCATTGTGCAATGCTCCCACATGCTAAGCACCCACATGCTAAGCAACACAACACATGCTACAGGCAACATAATGATTGCGACTAAAACCTCCTTTACAATTACATTACAATTACCATAATAACATCCCCTATACTTACCTTGGCATAATTGCTAGTCAGTTCTCATTATATTGTCTAACAAAAAAACACGCTTTTAAATAAACCTCAATTTTTTCATTCATAGCGAGCCTCTCGTTCTGGCAGACTTAATGCCATCGGGTAGTATGCCAAGGAATATTAGTCACCTACCAGCCGTAAGAACATCACCTGTTGTACAATGCCTATAGGCAAAAAGTGAGTGTCCCACACTCGCTGCAATGGCAACAGGCAGCGCTGACTGACACTACCATATTTAAATGCACATACATATCCCATAAAGTGGACGGGGGGACGGCCGGCATGGTAGCTCAGTTGGTAGAGTGTCGGATGCATTATTCGAAGGTGGCAGGTTCAGTCCCTGCCCACGCCGAGTTACTTTTTCGTCCACTTTTCTTCAGTTACAATAAAATTACTTTATAATAACATCTATATTTTTTGGCATAATTTTCTGTCAGTTACCACTAACCTAACCAAGCCATATTAATGAGAACTAACGAACAATAGTGCAAAATAAAGTATAGGGGACGTTATTAGTTGTGAATGTAATGTAAGTATGAAAAATTAAAAGTGTATGAAAAGATTGCTTTTCGTGAGCTGGGACTCATCCTGTGACCGTCACATAACACGTCCGATGCTCTGCCACTGAGCTATCGCAGCGGCCATTCCCTCGTCCACTTTATGGAGGATATATGTGCACTTAAACGCGAGTGCGTCAGTCAGCGCCATCACGTGCTACGTGACACCAACAGGCTAAAGAAGTGTTTCACACTCACCGTTATTGTTTCTAGTAGCGCTGACTCACGCTGGCACTTGTATATGCATATATATACAGGATAAAGAAGGCGTGGGAATGGCCGCCGTCTTCGCTTATTTGGTAGAGCATCGGATGCGTTATGTGACAGTCACAGGATTAGTCCCAGCTCCTGGCAAGCAATTTTTTCGTCCACCTTAATTTCTTTTCAATTACACAATATTTACTATAATTAGCGTCCTCTATACTTTTTATGGCATTATGGTAGGTTAGTTCTCATTAATGTTAAGTCTAGCAAAGAAAAATCAAGCCTTAAAATATTTATTTCTTTCTTTCAACCAAACCATGTGGCTTGTCCATTGGGCAATTTAGTAACACACAAGCACTAACATGTCTTGTCGGGTCATTCATGTGCAGTAACCATCAAGACAACAGTACTGGTATTCTAACAATGAAAGAGACTCTCCACAGGGAATAAAATTTCATTGTGTTTGAGAGCTCCCTTCATGAACTGCTCCATATGTGGCCAAGTAGTTGGCAACCTGAACTTCAGCATCATGGGAACTCTGGTCGCTGTAGAGGGAGTGTGCGAGCAACTGCACAAGCTCCAGTGGAGAAGCCAGCCACTTGTTCGAGGTAGTGAAACTGGAGCCAGCAACTTTTTCCTGGCCGCTGGCATGCTCTACAAGGGCTGCGTGGTGGCTGCAACCATCCAATGCATTGGTGCTCAAGTCATCACGGAGTGCGCCTTCTACAACTACTAGAGGGCCTACTTGCTCCCTGCAGTAAAACAGGTGCACTTATTGATCAACATCTAAATATAACTATAGCAAGAGTTGTAGACATAATACGCAACATGAACACAAATGCTTATACTTCTCTTGCATTAAAGTGAATCTTACTTTTTTAGCATAACTTTACCAAAGATTCACACATTGCAAAGCATTTGCTTCCACTGTATATCTTTGTCAATGTTATCTAAATGCAGAACATGAAATCATTTTGTATAAAACTTATACAAAACTAGCCCATCCGATTTTTTGGTTACAATGCGAAAGAGTGAGTGAGTGAGCAAACTTTATTTAACCAGCGGATTGAGGCGTGGGCCTAAGCCGCGCCAGGGGTGGGGGAGAGATCCTGTCTCTCAGCCGTCTCCCGTGCTCGCTGGATGGCCCATATTTGATCTGTCTGATCTGAGCTGATCAGCGCGGCTCTCCACCGCGCCGCAAGCTGTTCTGGGGAGACTGCATTGGTGTCCTGTATCTTTGTGCATTCCCATAACATATGCTTTAGGGTGGCGCGTCTCATGCTACATAGTTTACACGAGTCATCTGGGTATAGTTCGGGGTAGATGCGATTTAGGTGCTTCGGGTTAAGAAATGTTCTAGTTTGAAGTCGCCTCCAGTCAACTTCCTGAGATCTGTCAAATGTGGAGCTAGGTGGTGGAAATCTGCGCCTCAACTTTTGGTAGAATTGAATAATGTCGCAGAACCTAAACATTCTGTCCCTCTCCCACCACTCATCTCCTCTCAGTACCTCATGTGAAGCTCCATTGCGAGTGCAGTAAGTGAGACCTCGCGCTACGCGGTGAGCCTCCTCGTTGAGGTTGGGAATGAGGGACGCACACGGGGTGTGGGCTGGGAACCATATAACATACCTTTCTTCGAATTTCTCTGATGATATCAGATTTGCCTTGCGGATGAGTATGTTGGCTGCCTCGGGAGATATTCTTCCTCGTGCATAGTTACTGATTGCCGACTGCGAGTCGCTGATGATATACCTACACTTTGGGGAAATT